GTCTTCTTACCCCAAGAGTACAACTTCACCTTTACACTTCAGGAAAAATATACAGAGATGTAGTTCCTCAGATCTAAGTTAATCATTCTACCCTTAAATCTGCACTGAACACATATACATACAAACTTGTCTTATTAGCAGGTGAATCTTATTCTCATTACTTGGATGTTGTAGATCAAATATAGCAGCCTTCTAACAAAGGCATGCAAGTTTATTTCTTGTTAACTAATGACATTTCTTGGAAAGTATGCTGGCTTAGAAAATCTCTCATAGAATGATATATTTGGTTGTTGTTTCCAATGAGCCCATACACTAATTAATTTATTGACTAGGAGTGAGTTTATGTGGTAAATTGTTCTTGCGCAACGTTATTTTGTTAGTTGTGTAATACGTGCAAGTTTGAAATAAAACTGGACTTTTTATTTTACCCGTTGATTTGAAAGCAGGTGATGTTTGTCATTCAGAGACTTTTATGTCATTTCCGGCAGAGCTTTATAAACTTCCGCACCGGTCGTTTGTTTAACCCTTTCCGTCTAGACCGGCACAATATGGTGTGTATGTTTCACAGTGACGCCCTGTTAATCCGTAGCAATCCTGTGTTTTATCATCTCGTCACCTTCTAGAAAGCACCAACATGTTTTGTTAATACTCTCAAGATTCTTCTACACTAAGTATTTTGACATTTGGCAGCAGCGGTAATGTAGGATGTTGGAAAAACAGCTCCGCGTAATCTCCCGGCGCACAACTGTTGAATTTGATGTTACAGTCTGCAATACAACGTTGATTTATATAGAACTCGTTTGATGCTTTGAGCATAATGTAAATATTGAGGCGTTTATCCTGCCGTTTTCGTGTGTTGTTATTGAGGGAAACCCGTTAAAAGCCATCACGTGAGCTCTTCTTCACGTGGCCTGAGCTAGCGGAACGTTACGTGTTTAAGTGTTGCTCTCTTAACGTCGCGTGAGGTTTGGACATGCTCTGCTCTCGGTCGCGAGTTCTGTGACTGACCGGTGTGTGTGCTGACAGGGGCGCGTGAGAACCAAGACCGTGAAGAAAGCCGCTCGGGTGGTCATCGAGAAGTACTACACCCGGCTGGGCAATGACTTCCACATCAACAAGCGCGTGTGTGAGGAGATCGCCATCATCCCCAGCAAACCTCTGCGCAACAAGATCGCGGGGTGAGTCCAGTGCCGTGGGAAATGAATCTGCTAATCAGGGCTGTTGATGGTCTTGTGGCCAGGTATTATGTAGGTTTCTATTTTTTAATCTACTTATAAAAATGTGTCTCTCTGCAGGTATGTGACCCATCTGATGAAGCGCATTCAGAGGGGTCCCGTCAGAGGCATCTCCATCAAACTGCAGGAGGAGGAGAGAGAGAGACGGGATAACTATGTCCCAGAGGTCAGTATGGTTCATTTCACACTACGTGCTCATCAGCAGGTTCACACGGAAGGTACACCATCGGAATCCAAAGAGCTGCCGTTAAAGGGTTAGTTCACCCAAAAATGAAAATTAGTCTGTGTTTTACTCGCTTCTTTCAGACGAATCCAGTCGGAGTTATATTAAAAATTGTCCTGGCTATTCCAAGCTCTATCATTGCAGTCAGCAGGTGTTGCAGTTGAACAGTCCACAAGTCATCAAATAAAGCTTGCGCATTCATAATAAAACGTGCCGCAGACGGCTCCGGGGGATGAATAAAGGGTTCCTGTAGAGAATCTGTTTTTGTACGAAAAATATCCATATTTCAAACGTAACACACTTTTCTCTCACTTCCGGTATCTATCATACGCGGATCCGTTCCGGCAGATGATGCAGGACGTATGCGCCTCTGAGATATGCTAGTCTCGCGAGTTTGTTTAACAGGAGCAAAGGAAGCAAAGTTTCCTTACTTTAGCAAAGGAAAACCAGTCTCCTCTTGGTTTATATCGAGATCCTCCGACATTTTTCTTTGCAAATCTTCGGTTTGTACTTCTAATTCGTGACCGGCGTTTTGTTTTGTTCTCTCTCCGCATTCGTCACTAATCACGCAACGCCGACGTCTTACGTCATCCGCCGGAACTGCTTCAATGTATGACAGTCAGCGGAAGTGAGAGAAAAGTGTGCGTTACGTTTGAAATATGGATATTTTTCTTACAAAAACACATGGATTCGCTACAGGAGGCCTTTATTCATTCCCCGGAGCAGTCTGCGGCACGTTTTATTATGAATGCGTGCGCTTTATTTGACGCCTTGTGGACTGTTCAACTGCAACACCCACTGAGTGCCATTAAACCTTGAAAGATCAAAGACAGTTTTTAATATAACTCCGACTGGATTCGTCTGAAAGAAGAAAGTCATATAC